CTGGGTGCCACATTTAAAGAGATCCATTGACAAACTTGGAGGTGTTCAGAGGTATCTGCCCACAACGATGACCTTCCCAGGTCACTGGAAGGCTGCTTAGATTAAGAAGAATGTTCAAAGGGGAGTCCTAAGGGCTGTCTTCACATATTTCACAAGCTCTGAGGAGGGAGTAAACACTGTCGTCACTGCAGAGGCTGGACTGAACATCAAAGAGAGCAATTTCTAAGTAGGGAACTTTTGCAAAATACAAGGACTTTCAACAAAAACTCCCTTAAGGTACTGAACTCTGTTCCTAGAAGGATTCAGGTAGAGACCAGGTCAAGATCTGTTAAGACTAGCACGGAAAGGATTCTTGACTTGTGCAAGAGCTTAATTTGCCTTCTAAATTTTAACTCTATAATTCATTGATTTCCTTTAATAGGAGTTCTGTGGTATCTAGTAAGAACTGGCATTTATTGAACCCTAATGTCCTAGCCAATCCTGTGTTGTAGAGACTGTCTTTCCCATTTTGCCAGTGAGGAAACTGAGACTTAGAGAAGTTCAGCTGACACTTAGAGAAGAAGTTCGGGGAATTGCCCAAGTTCTATAGCTAGCAAGTGGCAGGGGCTGTGTTTGAACCCAAGGTATTTGACTCTAAGGCCCATCTCCTTACCCTCTACCTGAAGCTGCTCCCTGAATATGTTAACATATTTGTTTCATTCATTAAAATGTGATTTATTTCAGGAATATAATCACGTCTTAAGTGTTGAGTGGGATATGTACACGGCCTATCTCTGAAAATCATGAATTAAAAAAAGTATTTTTCTCATTATGAATAAATATACATACTTGCATAGAATTTGAAAAACCAAAGTTATTCATAAGCCTACTACCCTTCGGTAACTACTGTCATTAATTTGATGTTCAATTACTGTGTCCAGTTTTAAAAAAATAAAAGCAGCAGATTGTTTCAGTCAGGGGAAATGTTGAGGCACTGAAAGCTTTGGATACCAGAACGTGCCCTTAGAGAGGTATCTTAGTCTGTTTGGGCTGCAAAACTAGAATACCACAGACCGGGTGAATTATAAAAAACAAAAATTTATTTCTCACAGTTCTGGAGCCTGGAAGTCCAGGATCAGGGTGCCGGCCTGGTCAGTCCTGGTAAGAGCCCTCCTCCAACAGGCAGACTCTCCACTTCTCACACTGGCAGAGATCAGAGAGAAGCAAGCTTTCATAGGGTACTAACACCATCCACGGGGGCTTCAGCCTCATGACCTCACCGCATTCTCATCAGCTTCCAGAGGCTCCATCTCCTAGTACTGCCACACTGGGGTGGGGGCGAAGCCTAATAGGGATTTTAGAGGGGCTTAAATATCTCAGCTTATACCATTCTGATTTTCTCACTTCTAGCCCAGTATTGAACCATAATGCTTCTCTGTGGCACCAAGGCTCACTCAGTAAGGGGAAAAATACTTTTTTCACTGGAATAAACAGATTTTTGTAATATGATGATTGAAATAGAGACATTTATCATAAAATACAATACCTGGAATTGAGTTGTATTCATTCGATGAATATTTATTGTTATCCTCTCTGTGGCAATTGTTGGATATGCATGTATATAATATATATACTATATAGTAAACATATAGTATATACTATATAGTAAACATATAGTATATATATATATATATATATATATAGGTGTGGGTGTGTCCCACTAAGAAAGATACACAATGAATAAATCAACAATATCAGGCAGGCCAACAGGAAAAAAAAATTGACAAATATGTACACCTGGGTAACCCAAGCCCCATCAAGACATGTGAATGTCATACAATTCTGGAAAGTTCTCTTGCCTGAAATCGCTCTCAGAATTTTTCCCTGACTGGCTTTTTTTTTTTTTTTTTTTTTTTGATACTGCGTTCAGCTTGTCCTTCCCTGTAACTCCATTCCTGGCCTCCCAGAGTTAGTGTTCAGATCTTTTTTTTTCACCATAGATTAATTTTTTAGTTGTTCTGGAACTTTGTATAAATAGAACCATACAGTAACTCTTTTGTATCTGGCTTCTTTCACTCAGCCTAATGTTGAGATTCACGCATTTATCAGTAATTCATTTCTTTTGTTACGCCAGAAGTTCCATTGTATGGGTGTACCAACTGACTTTTTCTTAGGTCGTTATGAATGAAGCTGTTATGAACATACTTATACAAGTCTTCTTGTGATAGATTTAATTTATCCAGCTTGGGGACTCAGAGGTGACTTGCATTAAATTGATGACTCAATTCAACTCTTCATTACATGGATGTCGCAGATTCTCAATCTGTCCCCATGTCTCAAGTTATGTTTTCTAGCATCTTTCTCTCTGTGCTACATTCCCTGGGTGAGTTCCTCAGATTTATCTTCAATTCACTAACTCTCTCGTCTGATCTACTATTTAACCTGTCTACATTGAACTTTAAACAATTTCAGTACATTTTTTTTAGCGTAATTTTATGTTGTCTCTGTTCATGTTTTAGATTTTATTTTCCTTCATTTCACTGAGTGTTATTTAAGTTCCTTCAGATTTCAGATATGCATGCTTTTGTTTGATTTATGTGAAATATTTTTATTGGCTGTAGGGTATTTAAAATTTTTTTGTTTTGTTTTGATTCATTTCAGAGTACTTAGGGACTGGTGGTTAATTGGAAGTACTGCATGTTTCCTGGGTAGACACACACACACACACACACACACACACACACACACACATCTCCAACCGGGAATCTACAAATTCTAACCATTTTCGCTTTTAGTTTCTCTTTGGTTTTCAATTTTTAACGCTTGTTTATTTTTGAGAGACAGGAGAGTATTGTCAAGCGAGTGGAAGAGGGGCCGAGAGGGAGACACGGAATCCGAAGCAGGCTCCAGGCCCTGAGCTGTCAGCAGAGCCTGACATGTAGCTGGTCCTCACCAAATCAAGTGAGGACTCCAGCCAAAAAAGTTGGACACTTAACCACTGACACCCAGGCTGTTTCCTTAGTTTTAGTGAAGCTTTAGCCAGTTTCTTTAAAACTTAGAGTTTCCTTTTGTGAGGATAATGTGAATTTGGGCCCTCTACTGCCTCACAGTGCAGGCCTGGGAATCTGGCCTCCTTTATGAGGAGTTCAACCATACTTTCAGCTCATGCAGTGCTTGCTCTGACCATGGTAGTTGAACCCTTTCAGTTTCCTGTTCATGGACAAGGCAGCACTTCCCGGGTCCCAGCTGTGCCCTGGGCCTGTGGCCTAGACTTCTGGCCATGGACTGGCAATAAAGCCCAGCACTGAGGCTGCTAGGAGTTCTGGTCTGTGCCCTCCCCCCCCCCCCCCACATATCTCCCACCCAGGAGTTCCAGGGTTCCCTGTTTCCATTTCTGGCAGCTGATGATTTCCCTTTCTTTTGAGTTTAACTCTTTATTAAACATTTATATTTTTGATGTTTTCTCCAGCATTTTGTATTGTTTAAAGTGGGAAAGGGAAGAGTTTTTTTTTTTTTAAACGTCTTTTCAGATTATTTTAACTAGAAATTTGTGCAAATTCTTGAATCTCATTAAGCCTTCAGTAAAAGTACTGGAGAAAGTACATGAGTACTTAGCACTTAGTACTTCTGCAATAAAGTAAGTATTTTAAAAATAACACAGCTATTTTCTTGTTTTCATTAGCAGTGTAATAATTGTGTGATTTCATTTTTTATCCCCCCCCCCCCCCGGTTAATCCATGCCTACATGATTATAGCCCAGGGTTGTTGTAACTATTAAATTATTTAAAAAATAATTGTTATTGGAGTGCCTGGGTGGTTCAGTCAGTTAGGCATCCAACTCTTGATCTTGGCATGATCTTGTGGTTCGTGTGTTCGAGCCCCATGTTGGGTTCTGCGCTAACAGCACAGAACCTGCTTGGGATTCTCTTCCTGTCCCTCTCTCTCTGCTCCTCCCCTGCCAAAACGAATAAATAAACTTAAAAAAATTATTATTGAAGCTTTGAAAGATGATAAAAATAGTACACCTTCAGTGGGAAACTCTCGGCCATAGAAAAGTGTAGGCAGCATCTAGCAGGTCACTGTGTCTTTGGGCAATACAGATTGTAGGCCAGAATCCACAGGTGGGTGGCACGGAGCCCAGAGTGTTTTTGTTTGGCTGGCACAGTGAATTTGTTGCTGACACTTAAAAATAGTGACATTTCACATAAAATTTAGATACCTGACTTCCCTTGAATAATGGCGTTATATGACTACACTGGGCCTGCTTCCCAAATGGGATCAATTACTTTGTGCCGAACGGTGTCTGCCTCATGATCGCCCTGTGTGACTGAGGCTAACAGCCACTTACCATTTATTGTTACACATTTACTGTCGTTATGTAAGTAGTACAGAAACAGCGCTGTATGTCCATTTCTCTGTCAAAAATAGGAACACAAAAGGTAGATGGAGAAAACCGTGTGCTATAGGAGAAATGGAAGAGAGACTGTTATGTGGAGTTTCCCTGACTGAAATGATCTGCCATTCTTATTGTTTATTTAATTGTGTGAAATAATTGAACATCACACTGATAACTGGTTTCCTAAGGGTAGGAGGATTATAATTAATTTTAATTTTTCAAATTCCATACACGTATATATATGTTCAGACACCCTGTTAATACCTGATTAAGGGAGCACTGGGCAGCTGGTAGAATGCAGGGGCGTTTTCTTGGCTGAGAATGAAGACCGAGAAAGTACAAAAGTGAAAAAGTAAAATATCACTTTTTCCATGTGGAAATTTGTAGCTTTTTCTTTCTTTCTTTCTTTCTTTCTTTCTTTCTTTCTTTCTTTCTTTCTTTCTTTCTTTTTTTTTGTTGTTGTTGTTGTTTAGTTTGTGGACACATGGATTATAAGTGGAGCGCTTTTTAGGGGAAAACATGTTTCCATATAGGTTTAAATTCTGTATATAAATATATTGTTGCCATTTGTTTTGCAGATTGTGGGATTACTGATATGCTTTCCTAAGCCGCAAAAAAGTTGAAGATGTCTAAATACTTAACGGCTTTGACAGTAACCACCCTTGTCGGTGTGGCTGTGGGGGGGTTTGTCCTGTGGAAGGGCATCCGGTGCCGGAGGAGCAAAGCGAGCCTTGACCCCTGGCAACGGCGGAGGCAGCAGCAAGCCCCGGGCAGGAGGGAGCAGCCCCCTCCAGCAGACGACCAGCTGCACTGCGGTGCCCCCAGAGCCTCATGGGAGGAGAAGATTCTCGAAGCAAAGGTGGTGACTGTGTCTCACGAGGCAGAGTGGGACCACATCGAGCCATTGCTTAGGAGTGAGTTAGAAGATCTCCCAGTACTTGGAATTGACTGTGAGTGGGTAAGTTAAAAAGCAAAAATAAACCATGTAAATCTTTTCTGCTTTTCTAACTAGGGACCTTGAATAGTCAAGTAGAGGATAAGACTAAAGGAGAATTAGCTTGTTCTCAACTAGCTCATAAATAGAATTTAGCAGACGGAGAAGCTGCTTCTCTCGTCAGGAGAGGAGAGTGCTTAAAATCATGGGTTCTGGAGTGAGACAGATCTGTCCGAGTCCCATTTTGACCGCTTATTCTGTGAACTCAGACAAGCTACTTACCTTCTCAGAGGCTCATGAACTTGTTTGTCATAGGGCTGTAATGGTAGCTCCCTCCCAGGGCTTTTCAAAGGAGTCAAATAGATAAGCCCTATAAAGGGTTCAGCATGATTTTCACATATAGTAAGTACTCATTAAATATTAGCTACTATTAATATTTTAAATAGTATTTTCATAAGGATGCCATGGAGAAGTTAGTTAAGGAAGTCTATTTAAATGGGAATTATTACACAAAGTAGCATTTAAAGAGATAACATTAAAATCTGAAATACTGTTTGCTGTCAGCCAGGTACTTTGCTGTTTGTTTGCAGCATCTCATTTAATTTCCACAGTAAATCCCGTGTGGGAAGATTCTATTGTTACCTTCACTTTACAGATAGGAGATGGGAGGCATAAAAAGGTAATCGCCGTTTGAGCCCAGGGCTTTCCTAACCATCTGGTTCGTTTTTCTAATAGGTCTTCTTTGGGGAGAGTCGTTACATAGTTGTGATGAGGATCACAGGGTGCATCTGTTCCTCTGTCATTCTGATTCACGGAGTGAACTTTAATCTCCTTGAAACAGAAGATATTACATAACTATAAATAAATCATAGTTATCATTCCTTGTTGATGTATGTCTTATCCGATATATGTCTTTTGGATATGTAGAATATGGCCTACGGCCAGGAAGTGTAATCAGAAGAGGCCCTAAGCAGAATAGCTGCCACCAAATCGGGTCCCAGATTTGGTAAGAGGTCAACCAGATGCCAGGGATGACCACGAACGAGAACACTTGACAGCGTCCAGAAGGGTTTAGTAGTCACCCAAGACCTTACACCCGCTCGAGGGATTTCATCGTATCAGCAACAATAGTTGTTTCTGCCAGTGAGCATGGGTCATCAGGACAGCATTGGACACTTCTGGTCGATTCTGTATACGAAATTCTATCATTTTAGAAATAGTCCAACAATAATAGAAGAAAACATCACTAAACAGTGAGCTGTAGTAGATTAGGAACATTCACTTTTGCCAAGCGCCTTGATTTTCTAACTAAATGAAGTATAACTGCAGCCGCAGGGTAGTCTGAAGTGAGTGGTTAGTAACAGCGGTTGATTTAATAATGTTTAATTACTGTAGCAGAGATGTGGATAAGTTAAAGTGGCAAATAACCCAAAACCCACTTCATTTTGGCTTTGGATAAGTATTGAATTCATGCTGGATGCCACATCTTCAGGTGTGATTGCATTTCCCTGTTTGCTGCCACAGAAAAGCTTTATGAAGAAAATTATTCTTCCTTGGTGTCGCCATTCTTCCATTTCCCTTTCTCTTTTTAAAAAAATTTTTGTTTTAAATGTTTCTTTATTTTTGACAGAGAGGGAAACAGAGTATGAGTGGGGGAGGGGCAGAGAGAGAGGGAGACGCAGAATCTGAAGGAGGCTCCAGGCTCTGAGCCATCAGCACAGAGCCCGATGCGGGACTCAAACTCACCAGCTGTGAGATCATGATGTGAGCCAAAGTTGGATGCTTAACCGACTGAGCCACTCAGGTGCCCCTCCCTTTCTCTTTTATTCACTTGTGTGTGCTTGTATAGTTGACATTTTTGTTCTTGTCTAATACAGTGAGTATTTGTTTGGATTTACCAAAATGTTTACCTTTTTCTTTGCTCATTTTTTCCTTAGGATCATTTTCTTTAAGGTCATTCTTAGAAGTTTATGTCTTCAAAGCTCATTAAACTAGTTGTCATTGTTCTTGTTTTGAAAGTGTCTTTAGTTTGCTCTTAAGCTTGAAAGAAAGGTATTTTACTGGATACAAAATTCTAGCATGGCAATTTATCATCATTTTCAAGACAGTATTCCATTGTCTTCTGGCTTCTGTTGTTGCTGTTTAAAATGACTATCAGACTAAGTGTTGATTCTTTGTAGGTAATCTAACTTTCTGTAGCTCCTTTTAAGATCTATACTTTGAGTTTGTGGTCCTGAAGATTCAGTATGATGAGGCTAAGTGTTCTTTCTGTATTACCAACATGGGATTCTGAGAGATAGGTAGAAATGAGGATTGACATCTTCTATCAATTTTTATTTTATTAGTAGTATTTTTTAAAGAAGTCATTGCATTTTCTTTCTTTTTTTTAAAGCTTATTTATTTATTTTTGAGAAAGACAGAAATATGTGTGTGAGTGGGGGAGGGGCAGGAGAGGGAGAGAGGATCCCAAGCAGGCTCCATGCCATCAGTGTGTAGCCCGACACGAGGTTCGAACCCACGAACGGTGAGATTCACCTCTGAAATTGAGAGTTGGACACTCAACCGCCTCAGCCACCCAGGCGCCCCTCTTTTATCAATTTTTGAATTCTCTTTGCAGATTGTCTTTACCCTGTTTGTTCTTCTCTCCACCACCACCACCCCCCCCCTTTTCTTTCTCATCTTCTCCCTCCTCTTCTTTTTTTCTTGCTGTAATTTGATCAGCTCTATTCTCAACTTTTTATGTTACCCTACATATCTGGTAATCTCTTTTATATTTAACATATTGTAGTCTCTATGGATTCATTTTGCACGGTTTCTTTCTTTTTTTTTTTTTTTTTTTTTTTTTTAATTTTTTTTAACGTTTATTTATTTTTGAGACAGAGAGAGACAGAGCATGAACAGGGGAGGGGCAGAGAGAGAGGGAGACACAGAATCTGAAACAGGCTCCAGGCTCTGAGCTGTCAGCACAGAGCCCGACGCGGGGCTCGAACTCACGGACCGTGAGATCATGACCTGAGCTGAAGTCGGACGCTTAACCGACCGAGCCACCCAGGCGCCCCGTTGCACGGTTTCTTTAGGTCCCTTTTACAGTCCCCTTTTTCTTTATTTAGTTTTGTCTAATCTGTTTTACTTGCCCCTGAAGTCTTTTTTTTTTAACCTTTTTATTGTGAAATAAAACACATCAAGAAAAGTGCCTGAACCGAAAATAGCTAAATGATTTATCTAAAGAGAACAGCTGTGTAACTAGAAGCTAGGTCAGGAAATAGAAGATTGCTAGTACCCCAGAAGCTCTGCTTATAATCATTGTCCCCCAACAGTTATCATTATCCTGATTTTATAGTATTTACATTCTTGTTTTTCTTTATACTTTTACCACTTATGCATGCATCCCTAAGCACTGTAATTTAGATTTGCCTGCTTTTTAAATTTAATATATGTGAAATTGTAGAGTATGTATTCTTTTGTGTCTGACTTCTTTTGCTCAACATTGTGAGATTTATCTATGGTGCATGTGACTGTGATTCTTTGCCATATAGTAATCCCTTGTATAAATATATCATGATTCACTTCATCCATTCTAATATTGATGGGCATTTGAGTTTGTGGTTTGGAGCTCTTACAAATGATGTTGCAATAAATTTATGGACACAATATTATTGGGCGTATGTATTTAGGAGTGGAGTCCTACATCATAGAATTGTGTGTATGTTTAACTTACATGGATAATACCAAACTGTTTGCCAAGGAGGTTTTAACTAATATACCCTCCGGTCAGTATTGTATGAGTGTAGCCATTGTTCGGCTGTTTTCAGAAGTGGTTATACTGATTTAACCTCCCACCAAGGCTGTCTTTGTCTGTATCTCGTCAACAGTTGGTACTGTTAGATTTTTATTTTTAATTTTTGTTTATTTTTTGGTACTGCCAGATTTTTATTTTTATTTATTTGGGACTGTCAGATTATTTACTTTTTTACTAAGCCATTTTTTAATGCCTCTTTATTTTTAGAGAGAGGGCATGCATGCACAAGTCAGGGAGGAGCAGAGAGAGAGGGAGAGAGAGATGGCAAGCAGGCTCTGTGCTGTTAGCCCAGAGCCTGACATGGGGCTCCATCCCATGAACTGTAAGATCATGACCTGAGCCAAAATCAAGAGTCTGACACTTACCTGACTGTGCCACCCAGGCACCCCCACATCTCCTTTTTCCATTCATCAGTTGATGGGCACTTGGGCTGATTTCATAATTTGGTTATTGTAGATAATGCTGCTATAAACATTGGGGTGCATATATCCCTTTGAATTAGTATTTTTGTATTCTTTGGGTACTGCAGTTGCTGGATTATAGGGTAGTTCTATTTTTAACTTTTTTGAGGACCTCCATACTGTTTTCCAGAGTGGCTGCATTGGTTTGCATTCCCATCCACAGTGCAAGAGGGTTCCCCTTTCTCCACATCCCCTTTCTCCACAAGCCACCGTGCCTGTTGTCTCTTGTGTTGTTGATTTTAGCATTCTGATGGGTGTGAGATGGTATCTCATTGTAGTTTTGGTTTGCATTCCCCTAATGATGAGTGACATTGATCATCTTTTCATGTGTCTGTTGACTATGTGTAAAAAATGTCTATTCGTATCTTCTGCCCATTTTTAAATTGGATTATTTGTGTTTTGGGTGCTGAGTTTGTAAGTTCTTGATATATTTTGGAATCTAACCCTTTATCAGATATGTCATTTGCAAATATCTTTTCCCATTCAGTAGGTTGCCGTTTAGTTTTGTTGATAATTGCCTTTGCTGTACTATAAAGTTTTAATTTATTTATTTTATTTTTTGGTTGAGCATCTTTTTACATTTTATTGATCATTTAGATATCTCTAAGTGGCAAGTCTCTTGCCCTTTTTCTTTCATTTGTCTTTTTCTTACTGATCTATTATAGGAGTTCTTTTTACATTCTGGGTATGAATGTATGAATCCTTTGTGAGTTAAATGTATACCTCAAATGTTTTCTCCCATTCTGTAAATTGCCTTTACATTA